TATTGATGTTCCTCATTTGTAAGTCGCTTTGAATAAAAGCATCTGCTAAATGAATAAATGTAAAACACCTTTAATTTATTTCAGATTTGAAAACATTAACATACTCTGTTCCAAACCATAGCAGTGAGCTGCCAAGACAACATTTTATAGTCCCTATGAAATGAAAATCAAAAATTATAATTTTCCAAATTCATATAAATGATTTTACTTAATATTACCCAAATGGATTATTGTACCCAATATATAATAATAGGCCGGTTTCTAGCCTGCTGGTTTAGCAGGCTGGTTTTAGAGGGGTTCTGACCACAAAACCAGCTGAACACCAGCTTGGCCTGGCTGGGAGACAAGCTTAAAGGGGTCATATAATGCTGCTAAAAAGAACAGTATTTTGTGTATTTGGTGTAATGAAATGTTTTTATGCGGTTTAAGGTTCAAAAAAAACACATTATTTTCAACATACTGTACATTATTGTTTCTCCTCTATGCCCCGCCTTTCTGAAACGCGTAGATTTTTACAAAGCTCATCGGTCTGAAAAAGCGAGGTGTGCTGTGATTGGCCAGCTATCCAGTGCGTTGTGATTGGCCGAATACCTCAAGCGTGAGACGGAAATGTTACGCCCCTACCATATTGTGATGATGCCCTGTCAGGCCGGAGCGATGATTCAAAAACATGAAAACCCATTATAAACGAGGCATTCGTTGCATCCAGTGGGGACATAATTATGGATTATAATGACTTATACTGTCTTTTTACGCGTTGCATTGCATCGCGCCGCGTAAACATAAAACCATGTCTGCATTTGTGATCGGAGAAATGACAAACAACAAGCACTACTCTACACTGCCCAAAAAAACTCGCTTTAAATATATAAAATATAAAAAACGTACTTACAGTCTTTGAGTCAGAACAGCCGGCATTGTAGTCTACTCTCACAGGATCAGGAAACAGTCCTCCATAAAATGTGCTGCACACATCCGAATATTTGGGTTGAAGTGTTCTGGAACAGTGTTGTAAATACAACTTAACCACTGATTTCTAGTCGTGTCCATTTTTGGAAGGCCAAACAAAGTAGTTTCGCTTTCACAACGAAACACAGCGTCACACACGGCGGTACAGTGAGCAGAGGCCGGGGGATAAAGTGAGGAACGGCCGGAAGGCTAGAGTGAGCAGAGGCGGCGGATTC